TGATAATACGCCGAGCGGCACGTACGATTGAATTCTGTTTACGCTTTTCGGTGTTTTTGTGCTTGTTGGTTTTTATGTTGTGACACAAAACACTTGTACATGTGACCTTAAAACAATGAAAACAGAAATCCATCCACATGTTTGTGCGCAATTTGGTATAGGTGGAATCCAGGATGAGCAAGTGTGTCGTAAGATAATATTTTCTCTTTGAATTTCGAATGAGAGAACATAAGGAAGAATTTTCATAAAAGTTTCATCAGTTCGAAGAAGTGACTCTCGGTTTGTCAATGAAGAAAGTAGCTGTTAAAGGTATTACAAACTTGTATGAGATCACCAACTCCTAGTATTTTAATACTAGGTTCCTAATATTTCTAGACTGATGGCGACAGCCATCAATATGAAGTATAGTGGAATGAAATAGATAACTAAGAAGGTTTGTAATATCTTCAAGACGCTTTGTATGTAAACGAAATCTAATTCCAGGAGCTGTCCGACTTCACGAGAAACTTATTTTATTTTGGCAGTATACATCATTCCCATCTGGAAGAACTGAGTTTAGCCAACATAGGCTTCTGATCGAATTCGGACTGGTCCCTTTTAACTCCGCGTTAAAAATCGTACAAATATATATTTATACCCTGAACAGGTTATATTAAGTTTGTCACGAAGTTTGTAACGCCCAGAAGGAAGGGTCGGAGTCCCTGTAAAGTATATATATAAATGATCAGTATGTCGAGTTTAGTTGATTTAGCCATGTCCGTCCGTCCGTCCGTTTTGAAATTTTGCAAACGTCATTTTCTCTTCAAGAAGCTGCTCGTTTGTCGAAACTGCCGATATCGGACCACTATAACATATAGCTGCCATACAAACTGAATGATCGGAATCAACTTCTTGTATGGAAAACTTTCACATTTGACAATGTATCTTCACAAAAGTTGGCACATTCTATTTTCTGCGGCAACAATGTAGTCTCCGAAGAACTTGTTCAGATCGGTTTACAGAAATGTATCTGTGAAGGGTATTTAGATTCGTTGTAACCGAAGTTAACGTTTTTTCTTGTTTTTCTAGATTTGGTGAATGTTTTGGTGAATGTTTTTGTGCATTTTTTGGTGAACTTTTGGTGAATTTTTTGGTGAATGTTTTGGGTATGAAGCGTGTTATTGGTGGCATTATACCAAACGACATGAATATTTTGCAAAAACGACATCGAGCAGTGGTCGTAAAACGAATCGTTAATAAGGTAGCTGAGGACCCTACATTCACCCGCACGCAGTCTTACTGATGATAAGATGTAGGTTTATGTATATGACGTCAACACTTAGTCTCAACAGTAAAACGAAAGCCACTACAAAAACCAGGAAATGAAAAAACCCAAAATATGCTGATGCATTGAAAGCCATCCCAGCCGATTCTTATAATTAATCATAGTTATTCTATGTATTTAATAATTATTTATATTAAAATACGTCAAATTTGATCAGATGAACTTATTTTAACTTGTTAATTATTCACGAAATTTACTTTTGCAATGAGTCAGTCGGCTTATCAACATTGTCACCGACACACGCCATTAAAAGTAATCGAATGTAGGCACATCACAAGGTTGACAGACAAACTGATAAGCTTCTATTTTGATATTTCTATGCTTAAAAAAAAAGACTGCAAGATTTCTATCGTCTTAGCAAAACCATTTTTATACTACTCAACACTAACAATGGCAGCGTAGTCAAGGTTTTTAGTTTTTAAATATATAAATACTTGAAGTACACATATATCAAGATAATTTCATAGCTGGGTTGACAGTTGATTCATCCTTGATATGATATAAAATTAAGAGGAAAGTTAAAAAATATATACTAAAAATTTAAACCGATGTCTCGCATAGTTTTTAGAAAGTGAGTAAAAAGTCAAGTTTAACAATTATTCTTAATTTTAATTTTTTTTATTTTCTCACAAAAGTTTTGCCTGTTCAGTCAGCTCTACTAGTTTTTCTGATGATGATGAGTACAATTATGGAGGCAAAGAAACCGAGCATAAGACTTTTCTACATGTTTTGTATAAGCTCATTCATAACAATAATAGCTTGCAGGCTTTTGATCTGGTCAAAAAACAATTTTTTTTTTTTCAGTCCAAAATCGACCAAAATTTGAAATAAATTCAAGATTTTTTAAAATGCCGGCATTTGGTACATTTTGGATTTTTTTTTCTGACCATACGTTTTTTAGGTTTGATTCACAGAGAAGGCAGTCTGAGACCGAAATTATTATACCAACAAACGGCTGAGGGACACGAACTAGTTATGCAATCAAAGGGACTCTTCAGGTTAGTGTTCATTATCAACTCAATGGAGGAGCACTCAGCAGTACAAATGATATTACATATCGTCACCTAAAAAATGAAAAAATCGTTGTCAGATTTTTCGTTCGCCTGTGACCGTATGTAGCCATCAAGACCAATTCTCACGTATGAATTACTTATAATATCAAAAAATTAAATGAAATACAAAGGGCAAAATATTCCTTATGCTTCTACATTAACTGCCTACAGATGTTTTCGTACGGAATTAGCAACTTATAATGGTGTAAGAATAAAGGCGGTTGTTGGATGGAAAAGAAGAGTTATGAACATAGCGATATTCTGAACCAGCATACATTAATCGATCGGTCTATATACTGTCAATACTGAATTTCACTGTTGCCTTCCAGGTGGTAGCATCATATACCAATTTAAACGTGGCTTGGAAGGAGGATAGTACTTTCTCAATCTATAGCCACGAGTTCCATATAAACTGCAAAGCAGGGACGGGAGAATACTTCAAAGATCTTGAAATCTATCTTTTCATATGTTTACCAAACTCAGCTAGCATCTTCAAGACGGATTTATTAAGCATAGAGAAGATCTAAGGAATTCAACTGAATAAGTACGAAGGGAAACAAAGAGGCACCATATACACACCAAAGATAGGAAGACGGCATTCCAGCCTTGCCTACGGTAAAAGCAAATTTCAGCTTCGTCGACACATGTAGGAAGACTTTAAACTCACTGCCAGGTCCACTCCACTTGCTTATAATTTGTGTTTCCGGTCTTAGAACATTTTCGGCAAGAAAATGCAGACTTCTTGGCCAAAGCACGAGCTTTAAAGACACAACACAATCCGCGCAAGGAACGATCAAAATGAAAGAGATAAATACGTAATTCGGACAGACAGTTTATAATAGTAAGAAATCTACAGACAGATGCCAAGTGGCGAAACAGATATGGCCAAAATGCGGAAAGACAAGAACTATGGACATTTAAACAGGCCCAAGAAAAGTATATATCGTCACCTAATGCAGAACAGCGTATTATTAAAAAAAATTGATGAACAAATTTAGGGCGATGATTGACTATCCCGTAGTGGAGTGCACGAGTGATTTCAACATCGATTTATCGCATTTTGACCGAATATTTGAGCTTACGAAAGGTGTGTGCATGGTTTGTTCCGCACAAATTGACTGACGAATAAAAATTAATCAGAATCCAACATTCGAAGGACATCATTGTGACCGATTATTTGATCAAAATCACATTTTAACCATTAACTACTCCCCGCATTTACCTGATATGGCACCATGCGACTTCTTCCTTTTCGGAAAAGTGCCTTTGTCCATGAAAGGAAAGCATTATGCAGACGTAGAGGCCATTTAAAAGGCTTGCACCGGCATACTGGTGTCTATACCGGCCAACGAGCTAAACACTCGGAGACTATTTTTATACTCTCGCAACAAAGTTTCTAAAGAGAGTATTATAGTTTTGCTCACATAACGGTTGTTTGTAAGTCCTAAAACTAAAAGAGTCAGATATAGGGTTATATATACCAAAGTGATCAGGGTGACGAGTAGAGTTGAAATCCGGATGTCAAAATGGCGGAAACCGAAAACTTATAAAATGTCATAACTAAGACGTAAATAAAGACATTAAAATGAAATTTGGCACAAAGGATCGCACTAGGGAGGGGCATATTTGGACGTAATTTTTTTGGAAAAATGGGCGTGGCCCCGGCCCTTACTAACTTTTTTGTACATATCTCGAAAACAACTACCTTCCTTACTTGTTATTAAATTGATTATGCCGAAAAACCAATTGATCTGCTTGTTTTTTTAAATAGTGTTTACTTTGGAAAGAAACTTGTGATATCATTTTATAACCAAAACTGAAATTTTGTTCCTATATGAGTGGTTTTTATTATAAATTTCTCTTTCGCTTGAGTGGATATTATAATTATTTTGAATTTTAGGTGACTGTATAGACTTACAACCACCAAAAGTGAGCATTTGTCATTAGTAATGCTTTAAAAATGGTAATGTTCTATATCTAAAAGGATACTAAAATGTGTTTGGCACAGAAGAGCATTTCAGTGCCAAAGGGTGAGTTGGAAAAACGTCGTCAAACACTTGCATCCTGTATACGCCAAAGCAAGACATTGTGCGAGGATATGATATATTTATTCCACTCTATTAGAAATATTAGAAGTTATCAATATTTCTATACCAAAAATATCTTTTGTGTTCTCTCAAGCATTTGGTGAATCTTCCTCGCCGAAGCACAAACACTATTGCGCGTGCTTCAAAAGACACATTAGCGCAGGGTTACATCGTAAGAGTTACCATTTTTTCTTGCATTGCTTGTTCGATTTGGTCTTTTTGAATGCTTGGTGAATCAAATAGATTTAACATTAAGGGATTTTTGAGGTAAAATGTGAGTTGTTGAGATCTTAAAAAAAGACTTTTACATCACAACTTTGAATAGCATATAATAAAGATGAACGTTGTAATAAAAAATATATAAAAAATGTAATGAATAATGAAAGTAAGTTCAATAAATTTTATTAAATCAAACACTCAACTTAATTATTTATATTCCACTGAAATAATTAATGAATTAATTTGCATTAAATATAATATTAAATCAAGCATTTACAGTATATATCAGTAATATACATTGATGATAGTAGCACATACCTCACAATTTACGCAGGCCATGTCGTTGCAATCAAACTAAAAAAATAAATGTGTCACTACGCCTACCAGCCGTCACGGTCACCAGATTCTATCCGCTCCTGTATGTGTGTGTGTTTGCCTGTGTCACGTGAACACGTCGTGAACTACGCGCTATGCCACCAAGAATCCAAGAATACCGCACGCAGAGACGTCAACAACAACTTTCGCTGCTGTCTGGTTGTGGTTCGATTGTCGAACAACAACAACCAGCGGCACAGAAAACGTCTTCCAACTGCTTTCAGCTGTCTCGTCTGCTGTCTGGTATCCTGTGGCTGCTACTCGAGTTTCACACACTAATGACTACTACGTGTTGCGTCGATGTGATTGGCAGTAACGCGCACTGTCGCTCGCTTAGATTAGCGAGTTGTGTTGCTGATTTTTTTTTTTTTTAATTTTAATAAATTTTGACGTTTTGGGCTTAAGGTTTCACGGTTCTAATGTTCTATTATCAGATTTGCTGGAAAAACTGCATTCATGACGCTGAAACTAAGTATAGACACACTGCTCGCTTATTTGTAGTGTTCTTTTCACCACTTCAAATTTCTTTCATTGGCAGCGCTGGCGATCTGAAAAATTAAAGGAAAAGTGTAGGTGTTGAGGTGATAGAAAATATAAGGAATGCAATATTATTTAGTATTTATAAATCAAGATATCTTGTTCCCTGCAACACAGTCGTTCGCACTCATCGCTCTCTGCAACCTTTCCAGTAATTACTACATTAATTAACCGAGGAGCGATTGCCACACCCAAAGAGACACACATAAAAAAACTTAAATATACCCTAGACCACATTCACGGGTATTCACCAAGGCTGTTGGCGCTCAAAAAAGCCCAACGCGTGCAGCAGCGTTGCATGCAATCAGCAATATTGTAATTCATATCAAGCATCGAGCGTTGAAAGCGAGTTGCAACATTATTATTAATTTGGCGTGGCACTCGTAGAAGTTCGTCGTTCGCATTGAATTCATCGAATTGCATTGAATTAAATTATTTCATTGACAGAGTGAAAATTGTAAACAAAGCGCCAAAGTAGCGCAACTGTGAGCAGCAGCGTGTGTGTGTGCGTGCGCACTTTCGTAGCTTTTGAACCCGCTTAACTGTTAATGAACAAAGTTTCAAGTACAGCGAAGAGTTTTAATGTGAAGAGTGCGCGTAATGAATAAATACATCAATGCGCTGATTTATATCTGCCATCTGTGGGCGGAGAAATGCACCGAAATATATTACGTATACGACAGGGTGTACTTGATTTTATTGCACTACCGATATATAGTACAATATAATATAATAAGTAGCGATTACTAACTTCTCCCGACCAACATAATCACCATTTTTTTTAAAGAAAAAGTTGAACTTTATCAAAAAAGTTTGTGGTCGTTGTTGGCCAGCAAAAATTTAGTTCAAAACTGTGCTTGTTAATTGTAGGGAGAACTATATTCGATAGTGATGAAGCTGCTTGAACCGAGCGGTTACATTTTAGAAGGCTGCAATCCAAAACTATTTGGAATTCTGATTTGAAACTTTATTATATTATTTTTAAAGGTACAGTCTCTAGAAATGTGAAAGAGTAAATTTTTTTCTTTTACTATCGCACTAGAAATAGCCCTTTACAGGATATTATACTCTCATTTTTAAGATCTTCCTATCCAGCGGTATTAACTCTTTGCACTCCGCACGACTTTGGACGGTGTCTATTAGCTACACAGTGCCACTTTACAAACAGAAACAAAAGCAGAAACAAACTCTCGTATAACTCATCATAATTTTAGATTTAAGTAACGTATTATAATGATATTGGACTGATATGAATTAATTGAGATCGAGGAATATTTAATTGAATGTCCCCTGGTAGAAGATATCCGAGAGATATGCCTGAATTACGGTGTGCTCTGAGAGGGCACAGCGGAGTGCAAAAGGTTTATATAGCACGAATAATTTGACACCCTTTGAGTAAGCCACAAAAAAAAAAAAAACAAAAATCTTCAGAAATCGATAACGATTTGTGGAGCTAGAGAAATTGTTTAGCTTTATGCAGTGACTATTGTGCCAGAGATTTAAGAGACGCATAGATCGGAAAACATTTTCATATCAAATACTAATTTGTTTTTGGTTTTTTTTCTTAATGAAAGGTATAACCTTCGGGCCTTTCAGGTACTGCGGCTGGGTTTTAGTACAATTCATATGTTTATAATTCAATGCCGAAGCATTATAAAGTTTATGGAGCACTTTGTAAGATTATTTGCGTTCTTCTTCTTCTCCATATAACATGTAAACACAGATATAATGAGAAATTTAAAAAAATATTATTTTATTCCAGAAAAAGTTTTCTTCTTAATTACCCTTTCGATGACGAACACGCTGATCGAAAGGGACGCCCTAAAGCCGTTGTTACCGAGGAAAATATCAAAAAAATCCACGCAAACTCACTTTTGGCCAAACACCAAACCGAGTTTATGATTCAGAGCAGTGTTTGAATATTTTGAAGAGTAATAAATCCAATTTTTTGAGTCGATATGTGACTAAGGATGAAACATAGCTGTATTATTTCACTCCGAAGTCTAATCGACAGTCATCAGAGTGGACTGCTCACGATAAGCACGCCTCAAAGCGTGCAAAAATGCAACCGCCGCCGACTGGCAAAGTTATGACTATTTGTTATAGACTACCTTGAAAAAGAAAATACTACCAAAAATCACTACATCATAGCGTTACTAAAAACAGTTTAAGAGCGAAATCGCCGAATACCTACGGCTTTTGGAGGAAAAGATAGTGCAGTTTCATCAAGGCAATGCACCGAGTCCCAAGTCAGTGAAAAAGAAGTGAACTACGAATTACTTCCGCATCCACAGTATTCTATAGATCCTCTGCAATTATTTCCTGTTTTAAGATCTCAAAAGAATACTCGAAAATTTTTTTGCAATGAAAAGGTGATCACCGAAACTGAAAAAAAAAAAGAATTTTGTCCAAAAAATATGTTTTACTATGGTAGGACGGGCACTTTTCAATATATCTATTATGTCGGTTTTAATTATCAAGACCCTTTGACTTTATATTGCTTTCACACAATTAATGTGATTTAAGGAACTACATTGAATTTATTATTGCGAACCCTCTGCTGCGAGTCTTCATACCAAATAAATAAATAAGTTTCATATGGCGTGGGGACGACAGTCTTACTTTGGAATAGCGGAATTTAAGCAGCAGTTGGCATTATTAATTTATGTACCTCACTTTTCACAATATTCAATTATTTTACGCAGTTGTCAAAATGGAAAATGCAATAATAAATTTTATTCATAAATATGAAAACTAAAAAGTTGGCGCTTAAAACCTCCCCGGGGTCACAGGTGCGCTACTATATTTCCTCGATTGACACTTCATAAAATAGATGACTTTTGAGAACAACAAACAAAAAAAAAAAAAATACATATATTTTCAATTAATTTTTATTGCGCAGTAATTAAATGCTCATCAAAAGAGTTGCACTTTTTAAAGCGATCGATTTGTAATTAATATTAATTAACTGCTACTCTCAACACAATCAAATATGCAGCATTGCATTATGCGCGCCATTATTTAATTTATGTACATAGCCGTAGTATTGCCACTGCCATTCGTCATCATTTCCGTTGATAATCGCAATTATTTATAGATACGCAGTAGATGTTTTGTTATTCCCAAAACATTAACGCCGCTCGACTGGCCACCTGACTGACGGCCACGCCACCGACCGAGCGCCCGTCTGTTATCCTTAATCTCCTGTGTGCATATTAAATGCATTTAATAATGCTAAGTGCCTGCCAGCGCATGGTAGCACCAACCAACCGGCACAGCACCGTCAGTGGCCAGTATACGCTACACCGTTAGACGCGACGCAACGCAACGCAACGCATTCGTCGTTCGTACTTCGACGTGTTGACTGACTTAAGACAAATTGAAGTTTCAGAAAAACACACAAGTTAAATAGGGAAGAATAACAGGCAATGGCACATCAGACGGTGCAACCGATACTGGTGCACTTCGGCGCCCTATTTACATTCTGCAAGCTGCTCGGCCTTTATCCGCATGACCTGCAAGCATTCCGACGCTTACACACGCTGCAAAGCAGCAAAATTGGCACTGCATTTGTTGTTGCCACTATGTTTGCTGTTGTTGTACTTTACAATTTGCTCATATACTTTTTTTCGAGCGAGGATCACGAATTGAAAGCTTCACAAAGTGAGTATTGCACTTTCATACTACAACTATAACAAGCTAAAGCATAACGCAACATCCTATAGGCACGTTGACTTTCGTCATTGGCATATTTCTGACGTACATCGGTCTCGGCATGATGATCACCGATCAGTTGTCCGCTTTGCGCAATCAGTCGAAAACTGGCGAGCTCTACGAACGTATACGCGCCGTTGATGAACAGCTAATGAAGGAGAATGTGTACGTAGACATCTCGAAGACAGCGAAAAACATACTTTTAATGATCGTAATCACGGTCGTCTGCGAACTGATCATTTTGATATCCACCTATATAACGTTGGTTGATCTTACGGACTGGAAAGCGATACTGTGGCTATTTTCTTGTTTCCCAACCCTTTACAATTCGTTGGACAAGATTTGGTTTGCGAACACTTTGAGTGCTTTAAAGCAACGCTTCTTTGTTATTAACACTGCGCTCGAAGACATGGTCGAGTCGCATGAGCGACTTAAGCGTTGGACCGAAAACGGTGGTGATGGTGGTGGTCAGATTTTTCGAAGACCATCCATTGCGAATGTCTCAATCGATCCGTCGCTGGAATACTTGTATAAGGAGCTTACGCACATGGAGTCGGTTAAGGCATACAATATGGCGAGAAATAAAATTTCACCAAGTGAGTACTAAATTGTTGTATTGATTGTGGCGCATTGCAGTTTTTTTGTAGAATTCGTTTCGAGTTTGAAGAATTTTGAAACAAAAGTGTTGACTTGGAAAATTTTTGTTCAAATATTCATTATTTTATAATTTAGACTCGCTATAAAATTAAGTTTACTTGAGTCCTTATGGCTTAAAA